ACGACGAAAAATCGAAATGGAGATGGAAAGAGATGGAATCACTTGGTTGAACACTTTTTTTCCCGCACAGATTCGAGGAAGGGGGGAGGTTGATAGTTGATAGTTGGTAGGAGATAAGAGAACGGTCGAGTAAACGGGTGTATATCTATAAAGGTCAGGCTGAAAGCAGGTAAAAGGGGTGTTGGTGGTTAACAATGACCGGTGTAAGGCTGGAGCATTAATTTCTAGTAATTATCAGAGGCGTAATTCACCCAGGGTTTCGGGGTCGCGTCCGGGGTCGGCCAGTGCGTGTTAACGCCGTTGTTATGCCCCATTATATTGTCCTACCTACACGCCACAAAAGGGGGAAAGGCAAGTGTGCGACGAGCGGACGAACGACGCGCGGAACAGACCTATTTTCAAAACTCTCGCCTCTTTTTTTCTTTTCCTCTTCTTCTTTCCTTTTTTTTTTTTTTTCTCGTTTCTATCTCGTTTATATCCCCGCAATAAAAACGTCGAGAAGACACGCGATGCATTAAAAAACGCGCGTAAAAAAGCGGGGGGGGGGGTAATTTTTTTAAACAATTTATCGCGCAAATGTAAAAACCATCAATTGTCAGGCGACGTAACGATTTATCGATCGGGGAAATGTTTTTCAAGGCAGTCGGGAACTTTTTCACCAACTTATCACGGGGCGGATCGCATCGCGAAAGATGATTCATCGAGGCGTAAAGTTTAAAACTCGAGCGATTGTACGTCGGAACAATGGTGAACGGCGTCACCGTGTAACGAATCGCCGCGAAAATTGATAAAATATTATTAAATCCCACCCATCCACCCCCCCTTCCCTCTCCCCGCCGACCAAGAGATAGCATTACTAATTTATTTAAATGGACTTATCTTTCCGAAGCACCGATAGGAATGTAAATTGAACCCACCGCTGAATCAAGGGAGTAATGGCACGAGTAAGATAAAGATATTTTATTGCTTTGCGGTCGGACATATTTAAGCAGGGTGAAGAATCTTTTTTCCATCCTAGAGCCCATCATCGTTCCTGCATTCTTCTCGCATAACCGCTCGTCTCGTATTCGAACCTTCCTCTTCGAACCTTTTCTTTTCTTTTTTTTTTTTTTTTCTCTCCCTTTTTCGAGTCGAGCAAATTTTCTTCCAAATTTGAGCGTGAACGCGGAGCGAAAAACCACGGTTCCAGTGACGAGAAGCGGAAGCTGGCGCGATCGCGCGGCTGGACCATCCGTAGAGGGATGAAACGGGGTGGGAAGGAGGGTGGAGGGAGAACGGGGGGATGGGAGAAGGTGGTGGGTCCTCTTCTACACCTTGATTTACTGTCGGCGATATTTTCTCGTCGGCGCTAGTTGGCGCCTACCGCACCACCGCACCCGACAATGGGTGCCCGCTTGACATTTTGTTTCGAATTATTGCCCGGCTGGCCGGTCCTTTCTATTTCAGCCTCCGCGCGGCCACCGACACCGTCCGCTTTTTTTCCCCCCCCAGACACCTCTCTTTGTTGAACCGCAAACTATGCGCGAGCCGTGCACGCGGTTATCCATCCCGCTTCGAGTTCGGATTTATCCGTCTCCCCAGCAAGGATTTCACCGATTTCCGATTTCGACGCTCGACATTCGGGACAGGATACATTCGACCCTTTTCGTGATCGATTATAATTAGATAAGAAATTTATTATCGTTCATTGTAATGCGAGAAATAGTAATGCGCGAGCGTGGACACGAATCGAAGCATATGTCGTGGAAAAGTGGCGTCGTGAAAATCGTTTAGCGACGCCTGGTCGAGATCGAGACACCGGACCGGGTATCATCGTGAGACCGGTGTAAGCTGCGTGTTCGCAGTCAAGTTACATAATCGCGACGAAACACCGTGGCTAATCGGAAATCGGGGTGGAAATCGAATGGGGTCGGGTGGGACTATCCTTTCCAACTTACTACCCACCGCTTCCTACGTCTTTTCTATTCCGAACGAATATTTTTCTCTTCTTTCTTCCTTTCGTAAAACGCTTCGATCGAACTTAAAAGAAATATCCTCGATCGTATCATCCTCTAACGAGAAATCGAAGATCGGAAAAGGAGTCGCGTCTCGGTCGATATGTTCGAAGGGGGGCACGTACGAGGCATACCCGTGATGATGGACGTGGCGTGTGCGCTCTCATGCCGAAGACGTGACTCGTCTGGCCGAGAATCTGCAGGCCGAGAAGTTAATGTCTTGGAAACGGAGGCCATATTAGCATATCCGCGTCCAATCGTGGCCCACGTGGCGGGCAAAGGGCGGCGTGGCAAATCAGGGCCGGAGCTATGACATTGTCATTATTTCACTGACAGAACAAGCATGCGCGCGATTCTCCACGGGTCCAAGTATCGCTAACAAGGGTGGGAAGACTGTCTGATCGGAACCAAGGGGGACACGGATCGCTCCCCCCCTCCCCCGATGCTCCTTTTAAATCGAGCCACCGAGAATAATCGGCGAGGATCTCTTTCGAATCCACTTCGAAACCTCCCCCCTTCCTCCTCCCTCTCCCCCTCCCGCCATATGATTCGTTCTTATTGAATCGAGGAGCCGTCTCGGTCATCGATTCGTGAATCGGTGATACGCGGGCGGTAAGATAAAGGTTTCTCGAATTGAATATGGGGGGGAGGAGAGGGGAAGGAGGATGATGATAATAATAATAATAATAATAACAATAAGAGGAAGAAAGAAGCGGAAGCGTGGAGAGGACGAATTTGCTCGTTAAACGGAGGCAGAAGCGGGCCGTGGAGGGGAATTTCCTTTGGAGGGCGAGGAGGAGGGGGAGGGGAGGGGATTCTTGCTAGTTTTATAAGGGATACCGTGGGCTGCTTCGTGTTATTTATCTTTATGGACCTCGGGCAGAGGGTAAGTACACTTACTCTCAGGGTGGGAAGAGGGGGGGGGGGGAGTTAAGGGGCGAAGTTAAGCCGGAACGAGGGTGGTAAGAGATTGTTTGTCGTATTGGCTGCGGTTTCGACGGGCTTAAACGTTACTCGTTCAAGGGATTTCTCTGTGGTTTTTCTCTCGAGAGTAGCCTTCTTCTGGGTGGTATTACGTGGGGCGTGGACGTGATTTCATTCAACAAGTCGACGTGTGCGCGCATTTGTTAATTGTTAATAATTATTATTCGTTTCTTCTTTCCTCGTTGAACACGGTTAATCTTCGAGAAAAATTATCTCCAACCTTTGCTTTCGAAAAGGAAGAGAATCGGTTCAATGATCGCAAATTTACGAGTCGAAAGGGACATTCGACCGGCCAGAAATTAATCTGTTGTACCGTGTAATCGGCTTTCGATGATAGAGAGATATTTGTTACAAGAGAACAAACGAACGGGGAAAAACTGAAAAAGAAGAAATATATACTTATTATATCGTATATGTATCTTTTATAAATGGAAGACAGAAAGAGAGAGATAAAATTAAACTTCTGCTATTCTAACAAGTTTTGTTTAACAATGGCAAAAATATAAAGAGAAAATTCTCTCGATGATGGATATCCTTTTTATTCATTAACAACGATTTTGAATACATTACAGTGCTTGTATGTACAAAGTGATATTTACAAATCGAATCGAAACAACGTGACGCACGTCGTATAATAAATAATTATTACAAAACAAAACAGAACGTGGACGATAATCTTACCACCTAGATGACGAGTCATTTATACATCGGACTTACATCTTACACATACAGCTAGAACAACGTCGTATGGATCGCAAAAATTCTAATACATAAATCCGTGGATCGACATTATCGAACAGTATTATCTCCATCATTAACTCCCACATCCAGAACATCTCGCGATTCGTTCTTTACGATAATAAGGTCTCCTTTAGCGATCAAGGAAAAAACGATGGTTTCCTTGTCTTTTCGAAAATCGAGAAGAAACAAAAAAAAAAAAATGTTCGAAAAGAGTATATATATATATATATATGTATAATATATATACACGCTACTGCAATTATTGCTGTACAGAATACTGTAGTTCGTATCATTCTTATCCTTAAAAAGATTTATTCGACTCGCCCGTTAGTATCCCGCTTCGAATCCCATCTGCTTCTCTCCTTTATTTCGCCCCTTGTTGCAACGGCGATCCAATAAACTCTTAATCATCCCCCTGAATCGTGACAAAAAGGAAAAACAAGGTACACAGGTGAGCGAGGTAGTGTACACCCGATTCAGCGGAAATTAAGCGAGCATTAAGCCGAGGATGGAAGTGGCGATAAGTCAAGCAATTGCGGGCAATATTAAGCCACTCCGTGGAGGCAGGTTTAACCCTATGTCGAGCCGTACGTCGGGCCGAGAGGGGGGTGCAGAGCTGAGGGGGTGGAGCCGGGGGTGGAGGTCGCGTGTATTTAAAACGCGAATGCGCGCCACCAGCGATTCACTGTTTGAAGTTAAATGGAGTGTAAATGGCAGATAACAAACCGGCACTGTTTCCGATTACGGCATTCATTGTTTCCTACCATTATGCGCGCTCCGCCGGTTTGTGTGTTAGCCGGGATACGGTTTACGATCTATTTATTGCCGCGCCACCCCCAACACACGAATGAACGCAGCTTACGTCGCGTTCTGCCTCCCCCCTTTCTCCCTCCACCTGCGACTCCAATCCTCTCGACTCACCTGCCCTCTCGATGCGCGCGAACCCCATTATGCGTTTTATTTTTTGGCTGGAAAAAAATAATAACCTATCCTTTTTTTGAATATGCGGTGAATGAAATGATCGAGCGAAAAAAAAAAAGAAAAAAAGTAGAAGAAAATAATTGGGATTCAAGGGAATTCGTTCGAGCGAGTTACGGTATACAGGGCTTAAAGTTAAAGAGTTAAAGTTCGAATCGACCGAGATATCGATCGAGATATATTTACAAATTTCTCCTACCTAATATTGACTAGAGAGGGAATATCACCTTAACTTCGCTCAAGAGGACGATCTCTTGGGTCAATCGTTAAAGCTTCTAGCGATTATTTGTTTTTTTTTTCTTTTCATACACGTATACCATGTAAAATGCGATTAATCTCGTTAAGTAGTTGGGTTAAAAAGGGGGCAAGTGCAAAATACTCGTGGATAGTTCGTGGTTAACGAGCTAAACGGTAGAATAAATTACGAATCGTTTTATCCTGCTTTATCGAGCTACATATGACAAGAGACGTTATCATAAAAAATTGGAAGAGCGTTTGATCTCCGATCGCCAACGATCGCCCCGATCAAGCAACAAGATTAGAATGGAAACACGATCGATCAAACCTTATTTATAATATATATATATCCTTTTCCATCATCCTTCTTTCATCGAATTTATCTTCCATCTGGAAAGAGAATCTCGTTTTTTAATTCTCGAACGAATAACCACTGCCCAGTCCTATCGCGTCCTCGCTCGACGACGATTTCCGTCGTCACTTGGTGTGAACGGTGGTTGCGCGCCTCTTCACCTCGACCTGGTCCACGATCGCGTCGCTCTCTTTGTCCTGGTGGGCGGTCATGTGCCTGGTCAAGTGATGCCTTTCCCTGAAGCTCTCGTCGCACACGGGACACCTCAGCTTCTCCTCCCTCCTCCTTCTGGCCGCTTCGCCGGTGTTCTCGTTCTTGTGGTGGGACCTCATGTGGTAGACGAGGTCGGACGTCATCCGGAACGAAAGATTGCACTTGGCGCAGACGTTTTGCGCGGGCAGGGTCAACGCGGCGAACGAAGGTGGCAGAAGGCCGGCCACCCCCGCGGCCGTCGCAAGAAATCTCGGCCTGGTGAGCGCGTCTGCCATCGGCGGGAAGACGGAGATCGGATTGTAGGGCAGGTTCGGGTAAACCGGCGGCAGATCCGGCCGGAAGCTCGGCATCTTTGGACTCGGTACTTTGGGCGGTTGCGCGATCTGCGGTATCTTGAGGTTCTCCAATAAACCGGGTTGACTGTTCTCGGGACTGACCAGGAAAGGATAGGGCATTTTAGCGGGGAACGGGGCGTACTTGTAACCGGTGGTCGCGGTCAACGGGACGACGGGCGGGCTTACGCTGCTTTGATAACCGGTGCGATCGTCCGGCGACACGGAGGAACGTGGCGAGGTCTGGCCATCGTCGGTGAACCCGTTCCTCTGAATCGTCAGGTTCACCTTGGTGAACGCGCTCCGTGATTCCCCGTGTCTGTCTGTCGGGCAGGGTAGAACGGTGTCGTACACCTTGTTGCAAATGTTGAGATTCGACTCCACCGCCTCGGGGCAAGTGGTCAAGATGGATTGATGGGTGGGAAACGAGGGTGGGCTGGGTGACTTTTGGAGACGCGTGCCTGAAACGTACCTTCGAACGTCGGTATCGGGTGACAAAGGCGTTGGCAAGGTTGGAGTCAAGGTTCTCGGTGATATATACGGAGGGCTGAGAGAATTCTCGGTGCAGTGGATCATCCTTCTTCTGTCGGATGCGTCGTTGTCGTTGTAATTCTTGATCGTCAAATTCTGGGGCAACCTGTCCGAATCTACGACCGCCTCCAACGTGATCTCATCGCGGGGCCGATCCTTCCTGGCCGACGCCATCCTCATCTTCTCGCTTTGACGGCGGGCAAGGTTCTCGTCGGGCGCGACGAGGAACGCCACGTCGAAGGAACGCTTGTTGGCGCGCTGAAGGGGATACGAGGCGTCGGAGGTGGCATCGGTGATGGACGAGGGGCTGGACGACGTTAACGCCGTCGTGGCCGTGGTGGACGTCGCGGGGGCGGCACGGTCGATGCCACCGGTGCGATCTTCCATTGTCATCCTGCTCGTTCCGGATGATCGACCTGCGACAATCACGCCCCATGGTCAATTTACTCGATGGGATTCACGGAAATGATGAATGCGATGATTAATCGCGTCCCTTTCTACGTAACACGCCAGGTGTTACATACCCAGGTGCTAAAATCGGGAGGGAAACTGGGTCGATCGTTGAATTGACGCGCCAAAAAAAAAGTTTCAAATAATTTTCACGAAACGTGGAAGAAAGTCAACCGTTCAAAATAGTCACGAATAGTCGAGGGGCAAAAAACTTACCGGACCACGCGTCCAACGGAGAATCCTCCCTCCACCCAGTGGCCGTGCGCGCGCGAAGACAGCCACGCTTTTCACAGCCCCGGTGGTGTCGATCCTTCTCGATCTAAGACATCAGCTGGCACATCTCTTCATCCCTTCCATCGGAACGACGAACCATCGGACCGACTGCACAGACTTGGGCCGCGATCACTCACGAAACCAACCGAAAGAAGAAGAGGCACGGAGAAGAGAAGAGAAGAGAGGAGAGGAGAAGAGAACCGAGTGCACGGAGGGTAGAGCGTGTATCGGCGGACCACGTTAAAATGAAGGAAGCGGGCGCGCATCCCCTGTATTTAGGGGTAGAATCCCGCGGAGGGTAGCCCGGCGTGGCAGGTGGAGGCGCAACGAGGGTGGCGCCGACCAATGGCAATGTTCGCAGGGTTAGACGGGGGTGGAGCGTACGAACGGGGTGAACATATTCGGTCGTCGGGACGCGTCTGCTAGTCCCATCCAGACCACGCCTACATATTTCAGGTTCGACACATGTGCCCGGGATCGTCGTCGTCGTCGTCGTCGTGGCCGTCCTCGTCCGTCGACTCTTTCCTCTCTCCTGCCTCTTCTCTCCCTCTCTCTCTCTCTCTTCTCTCCTTCCCCCACGTTGCGCAACGCGTTCCGCAGGATCCCGTTACCCCGTTAGCCCGAGAGAGATTCTCGGGGAGGGGTGGAGGGGGGAGAGTGGTGGCGGGGCTGTAATTCAGCCTGACAAACGATCTTGAATATTTTTAACGCCCGCGCCAGCCTCCACGCTTCTTTTTTATGGTCGACCTCCTGGATATTGGACGTTCGGCAGACTCGTCGAATCCGCTGATGGACCTCCACCGTGCCCGATTATCCCTCCAATGATCATTCAGCACCGAAGCTCGCTTCGCGAGAAACGGGTTTCTCCTCATTCCGGGGAGATCTTCTCTTTCCTCTTTTCTTTCTTTTTTTTTTTTTGTTTTTTCTTTCTTTTGCCTTGGATTCGTTTCTGATATTGGAGAACGATTTGACGATGTAAAAGGATCGTTCGGATTTTTTTTTTTTATTATTATTCTTTTCATATTTTGGCGTGTTAGAAGTTTTGTTTGACGAATGGTCATCTCGCGAACAGCTCGTAGTTGGAGGAGAAATGAAATGCTCGCATTAAATCGACCGCGATGGACAGAAGGTGGCAGCAGAACCAGTAGAGATCATCGTTTTTACGGATTATCTTCTTGACGAATTCTCTCCCATTTCTCACCAGTTCGATAAATACCACGATCCCTCCAAGTGACATACGGCTACTACTTGAAAGCGTTTTCCTCGAGGATTTTTTGTATCACTCTCTCTCGATTCTTTAAATTTTTAACGCTGATATTATATTCGGAGAAGTTTTGACGAAAATAAAAACTAATTATCGTTACTTAATTGATCGAATAAAAATCCAGAACGAGGATTTTATGCCGGAGCAATCGCTATCAGTGAAAAAAAAAAAAAGAAGAAGAAGGAAGCAAAAAAGGGCGGGCGGGTGAAGCCAATAGGCGATCAATCATAAAGCTGGCGATCCATTTTGCCGGGCATGTGAGAGCCGTCGATTTCTTACTCACGATTCCGAGATTCTGCGAGCTCTGCGGGGAACGCCTTGAGGTTAAAGGACATTAACTTCTTGATTGAGTCGGCAAAAAGTTGTAATGACTTTTCGATTGGACTGGCCGACCCCGGCGGAGATCCTCCAAAGACGAAGCGACTCCAAGTTTTTCCCCGTTTTCGAAATCATTTATCGGAACAGGGATTGCAATCTCGAACAGTTGTTAAACAAACAATTATTCTTCTTTGGCGATGCAGAGTAGAAGGAGGAGATCTGCTCGAGATCGATATAAATCGAATGATTCGATTATCAAGGAAGCAGATGATGGGCAACGACCGACCAACCGGTCTAATCCTAATTCGTGGTCGTAAAGTCGACAGGGAGTCGTTTCATCGGCGTTATATGTGACACGCGACTCGCGGCAGGGCGTCGAGGAAACGTTTCTGTATCTTTCGTCGACCATTCCTGGCTTATGGAACCATATTTATTGCCGATCCAGCCATCCTGTCCCTGCACGCCTCCGATGCCGATATACCGATCCCTAATTCCACTTTATGCCTCACCGTTAACGCTCAAATCTCTATCTTCTATTCGAATAGAATGGCCTAGCTTCGATCTTTCTCTTCTGGAAGAACAAATCGCTTCGGAGAGAGTTATCAATCTCTTTGAAAAAAAGGGAAAAAAAAGGAAAAGGGGGTGAAGAATTCGTGAGAATCGTCGAGGTCTAATTTCGCAGGCATCTGTCCTCGTTGTCGCGTAAATCGGGTAGAAAGGGCAGGCAGCTTCGCGACGCCCAATTCGTCCAAGTTAAACGGGCAGAGGGTAGCAACTCGACCGGCACGTGGCTGACACGCGTGAGCTGTTAACGCTGAATCCTGCCAAGGGACTGTGTCAACTGTGTTCGCTTCGCGACACCTTGCAGAACATTTCCGCTCGGCCGATCGGATCATCGATCCGATGAATTATGCGAAAATTTCTGAAAGATTGCTCGCAATTAATTTTTTTTCGTTCCCATCGTCTAGACGCGTCTATCTAAAGATCGATCGACCAACTGCATCGCAACGAACACTTTTAACACGTTCGTTCGTTCGTTCGTTCGTTCGTTCGTTCTTCTTGTTCTTTTTCTTCCCCTCCCCCCCCCCCCAAAGGAAAAAGTAGTACTTTCGAGCAATATCTTGCGATAATTTCCAGTCGACTGGAGATAACGCGACGACTGCTGAGTCTGTCCGGTGATAAATATGCAGCCGATGCAGTTGATGAGAAAAGGTCGTTTATCAATCACCCATTAACACGACCCCACCGCTTCACGCAGCTTTACCGGCTCCGCCGAAAACCTGCTCGCTTCTGCTTCCATATTTCACGGAATCATCGTGATTCTCTTCCACCGGCCTTCCCCAGGCGCACAGTCGATTTTCCATTAAAACCCGGCGTCCACACACACACACACACACACGGAACCTCGCTCCAAAGAAATATTCCATCGTGATACGTTCAATCATCCCTTCAGAAATTCTTACTCGGTAAAATTCTAGCTCTGTAATCTGTTCCAATGAGACGTGGGTTAATTCGATCGAGATTTACATCGAGATAATTCCTCGAAAAATTAAAATTAATCGATTAACACGTTTCGAGGAAGAAAACGTTGAAAGAGATTCCGAAAGGAGGATTGTAAGAGGGAAAGGGAAGGGGGAAAAAGAGATGGTTTCAATTTCTTCAACGTCGTCCTCGGACGACGGGAGAAAGAGAAATCGGCGGGAGGGAATCTGTGTAGGTCGAGGAAACAGGGTGGTGCTCTGTTAAGTCTCTGATAAATTGAACGTGTGATGAGTTCAGAGGATTCTTGAAATAGCCGCCTTTCGCGGCGCTCGCGAAAGGGGAAGAAGCACGACACAAGCCCTGGCGACGAGTGCCAGAGATTTAGATTTTACGGGCGCTTGAGCAATTTCTTGACTTATAAGCGGGACCCGTGCATACCAAGTGAGCCACTATCAAACGTTTCCCGACCACCTCTTAATCCTCGAAATCAACCGAAAAGTTGCTCGATCGTTGACGGAGTCGACTTACTCCTCGCGATTGCTCTCTCCATTCGTCTCTATTCCCGACGAATAATCGCCGATTCTCTTCATACGTCAAAATATCCTTCTCCCAGAAATAATGGCTGACGATACCGTGCAAAACTTTACAGAAAGTTCGAGCCAACTTTCAACGCCGATTCTTCCAACCACCGGCTGCGCACAGATATCCGCCAACTATGCAGTTTCTCTCCTGTGAGAGAAACCGTCTAGTGATCGTTCGACCCGGCGCAATACGGAAGAGAGAAGAAGCGAATATAATCATCGATCAAAACCCTCTCCCCGCAACATCGATCGCGAACCAACGGATCCACCGATTCGAAATCGGCTCTCATCGAACCCATCCCTTTCCCAATGAAATTTCAATTCACTTTCCGCGTTCACAGGATGGCGCAGGAGGAGAAGTTCGTCCCCCTCTCCTCTGTTGATATCATCCGTAGACGATATCGGCTTGCTCCGCGGTTGCCCGGGGAATTTAATTCTATTCGAACTGCCACCTAAGATTGCCACCTTCGCCCCTTATCTCCGTGCACACGGTGGGCTGCGCGTGGCGGTTGCTTATGCGTTACGTGAATACCTTACCTAAACGCCCTGCGGGGAAGCCGTTTCCGCGTGCCGTTACCTACTACCGCCCCTCGATGCCGTGCCATCTCTCCCCTTCTGGCGAGGGAGTCGACCGGGGGAGGGGAGGGAAATTAATGCGACTTCCAACCGAGCGTTATCGGACACCGCTATCTCGCGCCTCGCTCGCGAGAGGAAAACGTGAGTCGCCTAGGCGAGAAGTTTGGAAATTTAAGCGGCGAGGCCGTTGTGGAAACGTAGGAGAGCCCTCAGGATCGGATCCGAGCCGTGGTATTTAACCCTTTCGCCACCGGCGACTTGTCCGCAAAAATGTGCACGGTGCTCGAGAAAGATCGTCGGCGATTCGAGTTGCTTTGACGGCTGTTTATTGAAAAATTGAAAATGACGAAAACAAAATATCGATGATGCTATTTGCATTTCTATTTCCAGAGAAAGATACTCGAATCGCCTCTTATGCATTATAATCGCCTGTAAGTAGCGAAAGGGTTGAAATAGTGGAACACGCTACGTAAATTCGGTGTTTACGAATTATGATCTGGCGCGGGCAGGAAACGAGGACCGTTCGATCAAACGGTACGAATTAATTAATGGTGTGAGGACGCGTGAATATTCATCATCGGGTGATTGATCATCGGCGAATACAATCCCCTTAATTCGAACGATTATTAGGATTGGGGGAGAAAGTTGCGAGTAATCCAACGGGTATAAGACGATTTTCGATTACGTATTCTTCATCGAGGCAAAGCAACGAGGAAGAAAAGCGCAGCGTGGCGAATCCAAGGTTCGCGTGAAGGCACGTGTAGGCAGGCGTCGCGACGGTTTTACGATTATATTTGGCGAAATCTTGGAAGAGGG